TATAGACTTAAACTGTGCTAATTAATTCGTGTTGATGATTTGAGTGGTGAATTTAAGTATTTATTTTATAATATACGAATAACTATACCGTAATATATGATAATAGGTTGTAGTAGATTGAAAAAAAAACAACTCTGGTAAGCAAAGGGTGGCGGTGATGGCGTGTTTGATCTTTTGTCATTTTCAAATTGTATACAACCATTCGTATTTTTAAACGCACGCTGTTATTCAAAAGGGATTACCTAAATACCGGGAAAAAAATTGAATCGAGTCGTGCCATACGCTATTATAGGTACTATTATACGCAAGTGTTTTCGCATTTGAATGCCATATTGTGTTCGTTCAATTGAATACAATTTTTATCATTGTACCAGCTATACCCGTACGTATGTTCTGCGCTATATAGCCATGTATTATTGGTCGTATTCATATTTTATACTTTTTTGCTACACTCGAGGTATCATAATAATAATAATACGTAGATAGGGTACGAGTTTTCGTGTTCGCGGGTACACCTACCAACATTTCGGACGTTACGTTATGCGTTCTACACCTGAGAGCACCTATAGCTGTAAAAAATCGTAAATGACATATATTATACGTTGCATAAGAAACAACAGGTACGATATCAGTCTGCGGCAAACTACTACACCGGCACACCGCAGTCCGCAGACTTTAGAGTATAAACATATCATTGAATACCTCGGTGTAGGTATATATAAATATTACAAGCAGTGAGTATTGCGGTACATGGGCAAAATTCAGTAGGCACACATAATATTATCAAAATATGTAATAATATTATTACGTGACGTATAAACGATGTACACCTACTGCAACGATCTTAGAAGCAAGGAAATCGAAATTTCGGTTATTCTCTTACAAATTCGTAAGACGTATTTCGGTTGGAGATTTGAGAAATTAAAAAAAATCTATTGAACACCACGACGAGCGGGTAAAGTAATTTTTGTTTTGCAGGTCCTCTTCGCACTGCGCCGATCTCCACTCCGCACGCCAAACAAGGCCGACCGTTGATTTATCGTATTCTCCCCAAAAAACAAATACCTAAGTCTGCCGAGTCACGACGGACAGAGTGTAATACCTACATATTATTATACGACTTGCGATTAAGTACAGACGCAAGTGCAGTTATTACCAGGTTCGGGGTTTATTTGACCCATACCTATATACCCACAACTCGGGCGAGACGGAGAAATCTCTACTAGTCCTCGGGCACACAATGTGTCTGCGTTATTGTGTCTTCCGAAACAGGTATATTATTTTCTCTCCCTCCGGTGGTACGGCCCGGGGGCGGTGGCCCGAGACGAGGGTTGGCCGTGAGGATTTCTTTCCATTTGTATAATAACGATAATAATAATATATGTGGTGCTAGCGGCCCCGAGTTTCCCCTCTTCGGTGTGTGCGTTACACGTCGGAGGGACGGCGACACGGTCGGCACACACACACACACACACACACACACACACACACACACACACACACACAGAACATTATATGTACCTAAAAACGACCAGCCGCCGTCGAGCATGCAACGCCATGGCGGCGGCGGAGCCTGTCAAACGTTGACAAGTGGTCCGCCCGAATTGGCGTGCAACACGAAACGCACATCACACACACACACACGCTCGCGCACAAGGAGGCGGTGGGTACAGACGGAAAAACGTACATACCTGCTGGCAGAAGCAGCTGCACTGCAACTATAATCTTCCCTATCCGCCCGCCGTGGCAACCCACTCCACCGCCACAACATGCCATCCCCCACCCCGTCCTACCCTACACAAAGACCGTTTCAACCTGCCACACACACACACACACACATACCTACCACCACCGGTCTCCCATTATTTTAATCATTATAATTACGCATAATGGGAGTACCATTATTGTTGTGCACGTGTGTGTGTGTGTGTCTATATAATATTATAAAAGTATATATTATTATAAATATTATTATTTAACAAATCTTTTCGAAAAAAAAAATTCAACAATGCGTGGCTTGCGTGATGCTAAATAGTTTTGAAAAATAATATCGTTTGTCGTTCTTTCCGTGCATGATATTATGTTAATTAATACTAAGGGATGACGTGCACGACGTTCGGAGGATGGTACATATTATCATTATTTTTAAACCGACATTGACATAGTGGCATTTCATATCGGAAAACGAAAATGCGCGAGTGCAGTTTTATGCATTTTGTAATACTGTACCTATCTATGTGCAACCATTTTGGTTACGCCTTACGCATATAGATCGATGACGTCAAAAGAATAAGGTCGTCGTCGACAGGTAGGTATACGGAAACGATACGGAAAATGTACGTCTTAGTTTATATTCGCCTAAATAATATTACAACACTGGAGAGGTATATATATATACTTGCAGGCTGCAAATTATATTACAGAAACACCGCGAGAACCGTGACATTCCTTACGTATATATATATGACTCCGATTCGGTTACCCGACACCGGTTCCATTTTCCTTAAAATGAAAAAAAATACTTTACATTTTTTCAAATGCGAAATACATAATATCATATGTTATATTATATTCCATATCGATGCCCCCTTTTTTTTATTCTTACCAGACCACAGACGCCGGTGTCGTATTTTATACTATCATTTTTATAATCGAACACAGATGATATACCCAATCGTATTTAATGATTTTCTTAAAATTACCAGTGTAATGCGAGAAAAGAAATCGTGTCCAATAATATTATAACTGCAGCCGCATTCGTCGGAACATCAGCTATCGGGGTGTATATAAAAAAAAAACAAACTGACGAACCAGCCATAATTAATTGAATATAAATATGATCCGTATTCCATAATATGAAGGGTTGTTTTTTGTTTTTTGTAGGGTAAAATAATAATCCGTAACTTATGCTCGATAATAATAATAAAAAAAAAAAATTATAAAAATGATACTGGCGTAACACGCATTTCTCGTAATTGATTTTAAATTTTCATAACCACGGCGATACAATATCGTACACATTGAAAAAACATTCCAACACTCGTATGTCGTATCATTTAATATATATTAATTTTGTCTACAACTATAAACTTATATTATTCCATAATAATATAATGGTATATCAAATAGTATAATTAATTCTTTGTTAGACAACTCCTTGTTTGACGAAAAAAGTACGAACACTTTTTGTACCTACATAAATAAAATACATCGTACTTGACAGTTCGCCACACTCGGCTGAACCAAAATTACGTACCGGTATAGGTACCTGGTATACAGCTATATACCGGCCTTGATACCTATCGGCCACCTATGAACCCAGCAGCTATATTGTTCTCTACTTCTCTACACAGTTTTTTCTCAAGTCTTGGACCTAAACACAAAATGTTAAGATCGATTTGTTGGATAAAAGAAAACACGTAAAAACAAATAAATAAAAACCACGGTTAATAGGTATAATTTTTGTTCTTAAATATATATAAATTTTTTAACAAAAATATTTTATATACAAATTTTTTTCATAATGACAATAGTCTACAGTGTTTTAATCATCTGGATTCCATCTAGGTCACCTAGTGAGTGGTAACTAGGAATAATGTCAAGGCTCGTAATATTACGTTGTTTTTTATTTTTTATTTTTACCTACCTACATGTATGTATATAGTTATCGCGAACACAAGTCACAATTAAAAAGTAATAATAGGTAATCATAATAATGATAATAATAAAAACCAATCCGTTTGGCTTCACACATTGAGCAAAAAAACGTTTAGTCTAAATTTCATTCGCAACGAAAAAACAAACATAGGTAAGTCTTAAGTTAATGTTTTTCTTATTTTTATCGTTTATAGATTTAACATTATACAAACAATCAAAAGCATTTTTATTCAACAAATAGTGGACGTGCGGTTAAACAAAATAACATTATAATATATAAAAAGAAAAGAGACCTAAACAATATATTGGTAATTTTTTTCTTTATAAGTACGTTCAAATATATAGATTGTCTGATCTCTGTTGAGCTTATATATAATAATAAAAAAGAATAATAATAATAATAATAATAATAATAATAATAAAAATGTAAACGAAACAAAAATATTGGTTATAATTTTAGTTAGGTACAAAAATAATATAATAATAAACGGGTAAAAAAAAATTATTATAATAATAAAAATAGTTGATTTCTACTTTGTTATATTATTTATATAATATATTTTTTTTTAATTAGATGATGAGCGTTAAACTAAATTATCACATTGATGTACAAAATGTAAGTAATTGAACGGAACACGGTGAAACTAGTTTCTGAGTTATAACAAAATAAGACAAGACGGTAAGGTAGGTACCTAGTTCAAACATAAAATGAATAATACCTATAATGAAAAAAAAATAATAGACAAGCCAACAACGATAGATGGTTTAATTGCAAAATTTGTCAGCTTTGGAGAGTGATATCGAAGGTCAAGACTAAGATAAAAACATAATGAAATAACGATTATACAATTTGTAATACAGAATTAACTAAATGAAGTTGAAAAGGAACCCGACCTATGAGAATTATTAAACTAACTATGACTTTATAATTTATAGTTTTTCAAAATAATAATAATGATAATACATTTTGTCGAATAAACCACATACATGGTTCAAGTTCAAGTGAAATGCTTAAATTTCCTTCACAAGGAAAGAAAAATAATGTCATTAAAACATAAAAAAAACTGACTGCAGGAAAGCATGACAAATTTCTCAATTAGGTATGTAATATTTATCAATATAGGTAATAATAATAATAATAATGATAATAATAATAATAATAATTAATAATCATAATAATAATAATAATAATAATACCTAATACCTAATACGAATTAGATGTTGTCAAGTAGAAATGATGGCAGAACCCGATATTCTCAACAAAACATAATATGTTACTAACTTACCTAAATTATAAATATATATCACATATTGAAATGTTAAAAAACAAAATATTCCTTCGGTCATCTAAGTTGCCACAAGTCTTCGTTGACCGTATCCCTCCTGATGTTTGGCATTTTCAGAATCTTCTCTTTGGCTTCTTTGGTGATCTTCGTGCACCCGTACAAGTCTATGGACCGCAACAGTTTGCACGAATCCGACAAATGCTCAAGGCCCTTGTCGGTGACCGAGTTGCACTGGCCAATGTTGAGCACCTCGAGGTTGCGTAGCGATTTCGATATGTACAGTATGCCATCGTCGGATATCTGGCACGAACCTAAGGACAGGGTGTGCAGGCCGTACAGCCCGTGGGAGACGTGCAGGAGCGCCTGGTCACCGATCTTGTCGCAGAACGACACGTTCAGGCTGCCCAACTTGGTGCAACCCTCGGACAGGTAACCGATGCCGATGTCGGAGATGTTGTCGCACGCGCTCAGGTTGAGCTCGTCCAGCGTGTTCATGCGCGACACGTAGTTTAGACCGGTGTCCGTGATGTTGACGCAGAAACTCAGGTTGAGGCTGCGCAGGGAGCGCAGGCCCTCGGACACGTACTTGAGGCCCTCGTCGGTGATGTGCTGGCAGTCTTGTAGTCCCAGGAACTCGAGTTGCGCGTTGCCGTCCGTCGAGTCCTTGCTGGCGCCGCTGATGTGCGACAGGCCCACGTCGGACAGGTGCCAGCACGACCGCAGGTTGAGATACTTGAGTTTCTTGAGTTTTCGCGCGATGTGCGAGAAACCCTTGTTGGTGATGTACGAGCAGCCCTGGATCTCGAGCCGGGTGAGGCCGCGGAGCGTGTCGGCGATCCGTATTAGACCGCCGTCGGTGAGCTGCTTGCACAGCGACAGGTTGAGTTCGGTGATGTTCGGGTGGTGTTCGAGGAACATCTGATGCAGGTCCTCGTCCTTGATGTGGTAACAGCCGCTCATGTTCAGCGACACCAGGTTGGGTACGTTCTGGACGATCTCGCGCAGACACTTGTACCGGGACACGGACAGCACCTGGATTCGCTTGATCCCGCGCTGCTTGAGGCTCTCGTACATGGGATGCGACGACCGGCACATGTCGATCTTGGCCTCGACTCCGCGCCACACCGACTTGTACCAAGCGGCCTCACGCCACGCCGTGCACACCTGGGCGGCACGGCCTTTGTCCGGCACGTCCAGGTAGCTGAAGATCAACGCCAGTATTTCGGGGTACAGACGGTGCACGTGCGTGGGCCGGTTCTCGTCGTACTGACACCCGCCGGCCATGGTCCGCCGTTCCACTGCCGTCGATGACTTGACCTTGCGAGTGGCCACGGGCTGTACGTGCGACTGGTACGGTTGCACCCGGTACGGCTGAAACCGCGAGATGTGCCGGTACGAGATGGGCACCTCCGTGAAGCCGCCCAACTCGTCCATGATGGTCCCGTACGGTCCCGCCGACATGACGCGTAGTGCGTGCACTGCGCTGGTTAGGTCTCGCGCGCTTTCGTCACCGTCGGCGGTGCGTGTGCCGCGGCGAGCACCAACGGCGTTGGCTCGCGTTCCTTCCGCGAACTCAGAGCGGCCGCGTCAGCAATGCATCGTGAAATCGGAGGAGACGACTACGACGGAAACGCACTTCATGGCGGAGCGAACGGCGTGAGGAAAACAAATTTACCAACAATTATTGTATTGTTCACCACGATTTTTCAATACGGAAAAAAAACACTATCAATAAGACCTACAAAATATCACGATCGAGCACACAACCAAAATGCGACCGTATCGCGAAATACAATGAGCACTCTTGTCGTATTGTGGTAACGCACGTCACGAGAGCGTATACCGTACTGAAGACGGTAACGGGGGAACGGGTCGCACAAAAAAAAACCGTGTACTACACTGGCGTGTATGTGCGTGCGCGTATGTGTGTATTGGGTGTGTGTGCCGTGTGTGTGAGGCGTGTGTGTGTGTGGCGATATTTCAAACGAACGGTCTCGGCAGTGGGGGCGACCGTCACGTCGTTGTACGGTTCGGAGGGAGCGCGGAGTGTTTGTGTTCGGTCGAATAGTGGAGGGGACCTACGACCGTGGACGAGCGAGAGAGTGACGAGAGACGGAACGAGTGAGACCGACCGAGGAGCGATGGTGTGAGAGAGAGAGAAACTACAGTGAGAGGGATAGGGAACGAGCGGACGAGAAAACGAGTGAGATAGACGACGAGCGTACGAGAGAACTATAGTGGGAATGCGGGATTGGGGGGCGAGCGTGCGAGAGAGGTAGTGATTGGCGAGAGAGACACCGATGCGGCGTCGGCCGCGCTCGTCCAGAGTCGCGGGCACTCGCCGCCACCGCGCGCGCCGGTGCTGCTATCCGACGACCCGCGACGGTTTGCCGAACGGACAGCCGCGTTTCTCAATATTATTCTCGTCTCCGTCGACCATCTTCTTTGGGCTTTGACTGGATCGTCTAGTTCGTCAGCCGCGCGCCGGCGAGTGTCGTCCGCGTACCAGCGAATTCCTACGGACGGGTTGGGTCGGTTCGGGTCTTCATTTGTGGGGTGGGAGGGAGGATGTACATCCTATTAGTTGCGAACCGTCACGTTTTCCCTCATGAGGTCTCATGACGGCTTCGATTCGCCTCCACTAAGGCGTCGTCGTGGTAAAGAGGTTTCGTGGGTTACAAATTTACAATGAGTAGTGTGGTGTGTGGGTGTTTAAATGTATAAATAGTGTGAAGTAGCGAGTTAGTAGTAACGAAATGTACGATGCCTCTAGAGTCATAGAGATATAAGTATAGAATATCAAAATCATCCCCAACCATCTTATGCTGGGTTACTTGGGCACAAGCTATAAGGACAGATAAATTGAAAAATATTGCCAATAATTAATAACCAAATAGCAACGAAAAATCTGCCGTCGTCGTAACACGCGCTAGGCACATTAATGATTAATTTTGACGCTGTATATATATGTTATGTACGAGCACTACCTACGAATAACGATCGTCCGAAAATTCGATATTTTCACCAAAAACCTCGCCAAAAACCAGTAAGACCAAACAACGCAGGTGCGCACCCAGGATTTTTGTTTGGAGGGGGGGGCTTAAAAATTTTCTTACATTCCTTACATACGAGTACCTAAACAATTTTTACACACACGTACGTCCTCATATCAAGTACTAATTGAACTATTTATGTGTAGTTATCTAAGGTCTACTATATTTGTGACGATACATGCTATAATATATAATTTGATGTAAATAATATTTTTTGGGGGGGGCTTCAGTCCCAAAGCTAGGGGGGGCCCTGGGTGCGTCACTGAACATACTTCATAATATAATATACATATTATTATTATAAATTATAATATATTCCAGTAAACAGTGTACCTGTAGTAAATTATAGGTAGTATGAGTTGGATCCAAGCGAAACAACCTGTATACCCGCATTATAAATTATATACGCGAAAATTATAGGTGTAGTTTTGTAATGGGAACATTGCACAGCTGCTTGTACATAATATTATTATATTATATGGCTTGTGCAACGGTTACAGTTTTCTACTCCATCGTTTAAAATACACGACTCGTTTATCTACATAATATATTTACTCCTGAAAATTAATATTCGATCCTGGTTTTTAGCCCGTTATAAACACTAGCTATTTTACGTGGTAAACAGGTAATACCACTGTAGTGTAGCTGTTCAAAATTTAGATTTCTCACTATTTCTACGTTTCTTGATTAAAATGATAGTAGGTACATAATACATATACATTATACAATTGCACATCTATACACATTTATAACATACACATTGAAGTTATAAAAGCACTGCAGCGAGTAGTGTCAATACTCAATGACGGTAACCAATATAACGAATTAATACCAAGTATTATATTTATATGATAAAATATTATTATTATTTGTGAAAACAATACATTTTTTTCAGTTCATAGAAGTAATTCCGCTGTTCCTTGGCTCAACACTACATTCATTTTAAATATTTCTATAGAAATACGTTTTAAGCTTGCCTTAAAACACCATGCACAATATTTTTATAGAATAGGTATTACATTTACAGATCATTGAAATTAAAGTCACAAGTCACAATTAAAACTGATTGTGAGACATTTTTAAATTTATTATAGATCAAAAAATGAAAATACAGTCGACTCTCGGTAATTCAAACCTTGAGAACTAGAAATTTTCGATATCTCAAACAAATAAAATCAACCTTCAAATAACAATAAAACATTAAGATTTTGATAACACAACATTTTTAGTAGGTAGGTCGAATTTTTTTTCCCCCCCGTGAACCTCAAGTTACCAAGAGTCGACTGAATTATATTATTATTTAATATTATAAATTAACAATGTAAATATTATTATATGATTATGATTTATGAAGCTCAACTGTCTGATTACTTGAGTCAACAGACATTTTCCAGGAAATCAAGTCTTCCCTATGTGCTACGGTTACCTGAACGTTTGAGATGCTTAGCCACCAAGCCCCTAATTGCATCTATGGTACACTGTACCTATTGACATTGCCACTAATAAAAAAAATAGTGGCGTACCTGAGATTTGGGAAACATATTCAGTGGAAGCAAAATATTAAATACCTATTACTAAGAAATTATAAAAAAAATATCAAGTAATGCATTCTAAAGGATAGTAAATGGAATTTTTAGGAGGCGTGAATACCGCTGTTTGCCCTCCAAAGGTACACAACATTTTTAAATATTTTAAAATATCATTCTGTCAAAAAAAAAAATGTGTAAGTACCTAATAGCGGAATGTTTCTAGTTACGATGGTTATTTTTTTAATATTATATAATCATTAAATATTTTTATTTCTTTTTTTCTTTTTAATTTTTCTTTTATTGAACTTAAGCCCGGCGAATAAGGCCATTAGCTGTTGTTATTTCACCCAGCCACAAAAATTGAAAGTTGAAAATTTAGCAAGTTTTCTCATACGTAATTGTTAGTGGAAATTAAAAAAAAGTTGACCAAGAAAGCACAATAATTTTTTTATGAGAATCAGAAGTTAGAATTTTGATCAAATTCGTCAAATTCACAAAAATGTGCACATTATTTTGAGTTAACAATTGATCAAAAATGTTATATTTATATCTAGGATTTGAAAACTTAATACAAGTTTTCTCATAAGTTTTTCTATTTATAATAAAAATAAAGGTTACCGGAAAGTTAAATTCATTTTTTATGAGCGTTTGAAATTCAAAGTTTTTGACATCCGTAAAGTAACGAATCCTCACGATTTTCTTAATTTATTGTAATTCAAAAACTAATACCTGTAGACACTTTATATTTTCATCAAATATTAATTTTATCGTTTTAAAATGTCCAAAACATTTTTGAATAGTTTTGAGATATTTATAGAAATTAGAAATTAGAAATTTTTTTTTAGTTTTGTTTCTATAAACGTCAATAAAAAAATTTTTGTTGGGTCAAAAAGTGTTACAAGGTTCCTTATAAGTTGTTATAATAGCAGTTTAAAAATATTAATGATACAACAGCTAAATTTTGTTTATAAGCATTTAAATTTCGAATTTTGACAAAATTCATCAAAATTTAGAATTTTGCAAATTATTTTGTAATTAAAAATTTATAAAATGTTCTATTTTTATAGCTAAGGATCGAACATTTAAAACAAGGTTTTTTATAAGTAGTTCATAGCTTCATACAGTAACAAAATATTCGTAAGAATATAGAACCACAGTGATTAAAGTTTCTAAAAAATAGTGAATATAGTAATGACAAATTATTATGAGGGACACCGCATTAAATGTTAAGCTTTATTATCCAAAAAACAACAATATTATCATATTATGTAGATCGAATATGAACTAAAAAAAAAGGTGGGCAAGTGGGTGTCGCTCTGCTGTACAGTAGGTTACAAGTGGGTCACTGTATAATGGATGGTATTAAATTTGAATTCAATGATATAATATCATTGTATAAGAAAAACGATTCTGAGCGGTGACGGTATGTCAGTCTATGTATAGGACATATTATATACATATCTATGGTATTATTAAAAAATTGACCTATAATAGGTACTTATAATAAATTCCAAATTAATCATATCACAATATCCATTAGATACTTATAACACGTTATACATCAACAAAAACCGTGATACTATCATAGATATATTATAATAGTACACTTTAGAAGTTTCAAGTACCCACGAATAATATTATTCAATCACAACAAAATAACTAAAATAGTTATTCTAGGTTTTTTAATATGTAATTTCGTCCAAATTTGAATTTAAAATGTCTGCAAAAAATAAGTGTGTTCATATATTTTTTAGATTTTTTGGTTATAGTATGAACTATTTATGAGAACCTTTGTGTTGAATTTGTAATCCATAGCTATAAAAACTGAACATTTTATAATTTATTAATTAAAATGATTGATAATTTTCGAGATTTTGAT